CAGAACTTATAGTTTGAAATATCAAAGGTCTACAACATCGAGTTGCAAAGAAATGACGATTCATTTACAAATAAATTACAAATTTTGAAAATCCCTTAATCCAGTGAAATCAAACATGCAAAAATAATTGCAACCTTTTAAGACAAATGTTTTTGTAAAAGAAACCCCAAAATTTTCAAATTAACGTATTTGAATTTTTTTTTCAGAACTTGCTTAAGTTGCTCTCTTCATATAGATAGACTTTATAATGAGCTTTAAAACTTTGAAATCCAATGACTGAAAGTAGGTCTAAATATAGATTTGGTGTGGAAAACGTAAAATAAAGCTATTTAGCAGCATGCCTGAGGATTCAGGCAGAACCCAGCTTGTTGCTTGAAGGGATGGGCTTGTGTTAATTAATTAAAATTAATCAAAATTAAAAATTAAAAATTAACAACGAATATTTTTTGAGTTATGTCCAAATAGTACTAGAGTTAAAGGGACCGTAAGCGTAATTTTAAGTGACATTGGATGGCAATACCCGATTTACAACGGTGCCATTTAAAGGAATTGTCTGATGAAGTATGAACAATGTTTTTGTTCCTGCGAAATTGACTCGTGTATTCTTGTTTATTAGAAGCAAAGTGGAGAAACTCAATGACTTAAACACTTTTCGAATCTGAAAAATGAAATTTATCTTCCACATTTTTGATCAGATTAAGGTGTCAAGGGTGCTGTCGTAAATCGGGTATTTCCATCTTTCCATTTAGAGGGTCATATTAAATTAGATTACACTTACATGCACTCCCTTCAAGGACAGATAAGAACCCCTGATATAATTGTATTGGGAGTAAATATGCATAATAATATCAATTCTATACAGGGAGCTCCGATAAACATTATACAAACCTGATACTGATGAATTCTATACAGAAAGATCCGATAAACATTATACAAACCTGATACTGATGAATTCTAACAGGGAGCTCCGATAAACTTTATACAAACCTGATACTGATGAATTCTCTACAGGGAGCTCTGATAATCATTATACAAACCTGATACTGATCAATTCTATACAGGGGGCTCTGATAAACATTATACAAACCTGATACTAATGAATTCTATACAGGGAGCTCTGATAATCATTATACAAACCTGATACTAATGAATTCTATACAGGGAGCTCTGATAAACATTATACAAATCTGATACTGATGAATTCTATACAGGGAGCTCCGATAAACATTATACAAACCTGATACTGATCAATTCTATACAGGGAGCTCTGATAATCATTATACAAATCTGATACTGATGAATTCTATACAGGGGGCTCTA